GCGCTTCGTCGAGCCGACGATCCTTTGTCCACCGCCCACGCAGCGATGGCGGGATCTCGCTCACCTGGGAAAACTGCACACAACACAACACACGCAATCAACGAATGCCATGCACGCACCAACCGTATGTATCGTCTGGTCTGGTTGTTGTTGGTGTGCCCTGCCCGTGCTTCCACACCGACCTTGATTTGTATGTGCGATCGGTGCAGCCGCAGCGAGCCGAGGTCCAGCTCAGCAAAGCCGGCGAAGCCCTTGGAGTACCACGACCCCACCACCACCCGCCCGTTGTCGCGCGTCACCCTCAGCGCCCCGTCCAGCGCTGTCGGCCGCCCACTCACCTCTATCACACAGTCGAAGGGGCTGGGTGGGTCGTGGGCAGAAGAAGGGGCCAGCACCGCAGACGCACCGGCCTCTCTCGCGAGACGGCGCCTTTGCTCGGAGGGGTCGATGGCCGTCACGTGCCAGCGTTGGCGAGCCAGCAGATAGGTCACCAGCAGGCCTATCAGGCCCTGGCCAAACACGGCCACCTGCTCACCTGCAAGACATCCACACACACACACACACACACATATGCCAGGAGCCTCCCTCTAATCTCTATAGATCTGTCTCCTCATTGCCCACCCACCTGGCACAGGGCTGGCGTCCTGCAGTAGCGAGAGTGCGGTCTCCATTGCCGGCAGGAAGATGGCGTCGTCCACGGGCACGTCGGGGGGCAGCCGTGTGCACGACGACAGCGGCACGATCGCCCTCTCCTCGTGAGAGTGAAACGCAAAGACCTTCTGGCCCAGCCACGACAACCGGTCCACGCCAGAGCCACACCTGAATGGAGAAGGAGAATTTCCACTCATAGCTGACGTGCGATCGTGAATGTGAAGGTCGCCCGCCTCGCCCACCTGACGCATTTGCCGGCGAGGGAGTAGCCGTATGTGAGTGGGTATCTGAGCGGCGTGGCCGTCATGCCCTCGATGGCTGTGTCCAGCGGCTCGCCCTCGATGAAGTCGCCCTGGTAGACCTTGAGCTCCGTCCCGCTGCTGATCAACGAATAGGCCGACTCCACCTCCACCTGCAGGCATCGCATCCACACACCAAATGTGTGGTGGTGGAGTGCAATGGGTTTGTGGGTGGCGGGCGGGGCTTACGTGTCCTGGGGGCACTTTGGTGGCTTGGGGCCGGTCTCTGAGCTCTACCCGCGAGGGGCCGCTGAAGACCACCTGGCGGCTGGGAAAGGCAGCCGCCACATCTGAGTACACACACACACACACAGAGACACATCATGGGTTCATTCACACGCGTGTGAGCGTCTGTCTATCCACATACATCCATACCGGCGGGCAGTGTGCCGAGAATGTCGACGTTTTTGACCTGAACTGTGGACTGTTTGTCGGTGTGGTGCTTGACCCATGCTGGCAGGTCCCAGTGGGGCAGCAGCTCGCAGCTCTTGAGCGCACCCATGGCCAAGAACGACATCAGACACTGCCACATGTACTTATGGTCCGCGAACGGCACCGACCACTCCGACGCACCTAAACGAACCACACCCACACACCCATATGGGGGCTGTCCATCCATCCATCCATCCAGTTGACCTCACCCTGCATCATGATTTGCCCTTTTCGCGATTCGATGGCCCTGACGAGCTTGGAGGGGTCGGTCGATTGGCCCTCTCTCCTCAGGTGCTCGTGGTACAGACTCACCACCTGCCGGTCGGTCGGCAGCGCCCCGCCGCCGAAGAACGGCGGGTCAAATATCGTCCTGCCGGCGTAGGTGATCGGCATGTACAAGAGCGCCCCTGCACACGCACACACACACTCGTGCATATGTGTCGACGTGTGTGGCAGGGCAGGGTCCCTACATACCTCGTGCGATCCTAGTGAGGTGGTTGATGAGCACGTCCTGGTCCATCAGGTCGGCGAAGGAGCACCCCAAGACGACGTCGAAGCCGTGCTGCCCATCAGCCGTGTCGAGAAGGTCGCCCTCCACCAGCACCAGGTAGATAGTGCCGCCGCCCCGGTCGGCCTTGCGGTAGACGCGCTCCCGAGGATGGAAGCCGAAGCTCTCATCGACCTCCTCGAACCCCATCAGCTCGGTGGCACTCTCGCGATTGGCCTGACACAGACAGACACAGCCAGAGAGCATGCTAGTGTCTGTCGCTTGCAGGCTTGTGTGTGGTCTCTCTCGTTGTCTGTCTGACCTGCATCACGGCGCGTGAGGTGTCGACGGCAACGTAGACGAGCGCGTCGCCCCGGCCCTTCCACTGATGCCCCTCCCATAGGCCCAGCACCCGCACCAGCATGCCCAGCGTCCCCGCCCCCACATCCAGCACCCTCACGCCGCAATCCCTCGGCTCCTTCTCGCGGAACCTCGCCACGAAGGCCTCCCACGTGTCTTCGTTGAAGGCGTGGCAGTCGATGGCCTTCTTGGCGGAGAGGTAAGCGAGCGGGTCGAAGTGGAAGGTGGATTGGGGCGGGGCGCACTTGATGAGGGACGCTAGGGACTGCTCGAGGGTGGATGGAGAGGTGGGGAGAGGGGTCAGGGACACGCCTGAAACAACAGGACGATGTGCGTTTGTCTGTCTATCCGAGTGGGTGGGTACCTTTGATGGCATGTGAGATGGCCCGCACGCTGCTGTCGATGACTTCAGGGTCATCAATCACCACCAGCTCCTTCTCCCCCCCTCCCAGCACCTTCCACGCCTCCCGCAGCCTCTCATACTGAGGCCCCCTGCCGCCCTCGCCGATAAACGCCTCACCCCCCACCATCATGACGCCCCCCCTGCCCGGCATCACAATGCGCGACACCATCGAAGATGGAAAACACCGTGAGTAGAAGAGCATGTGCCCGGGGGAGGTCCACCGCAAGAGGTCCCTGATCCACCTTGGCGTGGCGCCTTCGCTCGCCATGTGCTGCCACCCTGTCGGCGTAGTGCTTTCCTTCCGGCCGTCCCTGTCGTCTGTCTGCCCGCTGAGTCGCGCAGTCTCCTTGTTGAGGAGGTATGCCGTGAGCTCCTTCTCGATCGCCGCCCAGCCGCCCCTCTCCTTGCTGTCGAGACACCGCCGCACAATGGCTTTCACCTCAGCCGACGCGATCAGGTCCACATTGAAGGCGATCGGTGGCAGGAGGGCGGCAGCTCCTGATTGGGGGGTGTCCAGCGGGCCCTCGAATGACGCGGAGGTGGCGAGTGGGTCGGGGCCGTCGGAGAGGGTGATGGTGAGCGACGAGAGGGGCTCGGGAGGGCTCTGTCGGTCTGCTGGCGGGAGGGCCAGATATGCGGAACGGACTCTCTCCCACAAGTAGCGTGACAGCTGCAGCAATAGAGGAAGAAACATATTTATTTATGGAGGGGAGGGAAGGCAATCGCGCCTGTCTGCCTGCCTGCCTGCCTGCCTGCCTGGCCTTTGCTCGCTGACTGACCATTTCCAGCGTCCAGTTCTCCCCCTTCATGGCTTCGATCTCCTCCAAGTTGCGGTAGGCCAGCCCCCCCACCGCCTCACCCAGCAAAGCCTGACACATCCCAATATCGACCAGGAA